GAAAATGATCTTTGAGATTCAGCCGATTAATCTATAAATAAAAATCCAGTTGTTGTCCTTGTGGTTTTTGTAAAATCTTCTTTAAAAGCTGGTCGATTGACTATTTTTACTTTGCCGAGCGTTAAATTGACCAATAAGAATAATCTAAACTTTAATTCGTGTTACCATTAAAGAATAACCTGACCGTTTAAGATATAGTTGTTACTGTTGTTATTGTTATTAGGCAGGAAAGCGAAATAATTGATCGCAATAAAATAAATTGTGTGAATAAGGTTTACCAGTGAATAATTTTTAGGTTTTATTTAATATGGTTATTTTTAGAGATGGGCAAATGGCGTATAGTTGAACACTATACGATACTTTACGATACTTTACATAGTGCGTATAGTGCGTATAGTACGTATAGTAGTGTTGAAATTTGATTGGGTGATTTTCAAATAATAAGAAAAAAAAAATAATTTGGCTATTACGATAAGCATACACTTTTTTAGGTTTTATTTATGAATCATTAATTATATTGAATGAATTAAATATAATAAAAATCAAAACTGCTTTCATTTTTATTTGATTCTTCAATAAAATTTTCATCAGCTTCTTTGTAATTTATCTGTACACTACTAGTATTTGAAGTATTAAAATGTTCTCCAAAATAATTTCTTTTAATTTGAATTGTGGCATTTGGACAAAGACGTAAATGTTTTTCACATCTAGATATTGAACTAGAACGTTAATATTAAAATGTTGCCAAATTGCAGGCAAGTTTAAAATATATATATCATGAGAAGAGTATTAATATTACATTTATTATTTGGCAATAACCTAAACAGGAATTGATTTACATTTACTACTATATTTCCATCTCTAGTTTTACTTCCTTCCATATAAAAAAAAAAAAAAATCGTTATTTGAATTTTAATTCCGGAAAATTTACACGAATTTTCAACAGTGGAAAAGTCCGTCTCTTCTCCTGTATATATAGTAGTTGTCGTAGATTTTAAAATACCCTTTGATTATTTTGGAAATATTGTTTATTACATCAAAAGATTGTTCCAATACTGAACGTTTTAGTTGATAATTTTTTGCGTAGTAACTCTTTATAATAATATAATATAATAGTCTTTTAACCTAAAGACTATAAATAATTATTTTGAGACAAATCAATCTAATGCCATCATCTGAATTTCACGAGCAGATGGAGGTTTAAAGCATATAAATAATTAAATGAAATACATAGAATGGTTTCTATTGAAAGAAGTTGCTAAGAAATGTAGGCCCAGTTTCAATGCTAAAATGCGATAAAATGACATGTGTAATAATGATAGGACAATTAAATTAAAAAAAACTTGCATATAACAGGTCGATTGTGTTTCTTTTAATTTTTACTAAATTAAGGTTTTCATCATCATGGTTTTATTTCAAACCTAAATTTACAGTTACACACGTATATTAAGTGCGACGTAATAAATGTTTTTTTGACACACAACAACAATAATAAATGTAAATATATAGGAATAATAAAATTTGAATTCATTCAAAAAACCACAAATGAGGTCTTTATGAGCGTATGTACATTTCCACAAATGATCGGAAAATAATAAAATATACAATCATCGGAAATACTAGTAATAATGATAACGATAAAATATTTACACACTGCAAGTAGCGTAGCTTGTCCAAAACTATATTTTAAGGAACGGAATTATTCAAAAAAGTTAATTATGACGAATATTAACCGGTTAAATAAATATTTACGAAAAATATAAAATAAATAACTTTTAAATAACGCCTCATTGGTATTACTTGTGTGTAAACCCCGCAAAAATTAACTTCTATTAATTCAAATTAAATAAGCTACATATTGATTGGTTTGGATTCTAAGTCACGTGAATCCAAATGAATGCATGTATTTATTTAATTCATAATTTATCAAAAAAAAATAATAATTATAAAGACAAATAATCAAAAAAAGTTTTTTTGGGCAAGCTAATTTTTTTCCGAATATTTTTTTTAATCAAATTAATTTTTTCAGGCTTAAAAAGTTCATTTGCAGGTGGCAAACAAGTTGGATGACAAACGTAAGTTAGACGTTGATCATTGTTATCAACACCTATGAAATAATTATAAATCAATTAATAAATAAATAACATAGGGAGCAATGAATATTAAAAAAGACTTACTAATTGAGGCCATTTCATAATATTCACACATGACATGAATAACCCATCTAGAAAATTTATCATCAAGTTCCCATACTAAAAATGGTTTGAGATTTTCAGTAACAGTCGATGTATGGGGGAGATCGATGTTGGGGTTAGAATCGATGTTTGGATTGGTGTTGTGATTGATTTCAGGGTTGATGTCAAGGTTGTTGTTGTTGCCATTATCATCATTAATAATAATTTCCTTTTTAGATTGATTAACCGTTCTTTTTTCAAGATAACTACTATCACTGATACTACCAGCATTCATACTCCCATTAACGTTACTTTTACTAGAACCACGACCATTGCTGCTGTCATGTACAACGATAACACCATCATCGTCCACCAACTCATAATCCAGTTCATCCTCAATATTACTATAATCATCATTACTATCAGAAGAAACTACAATCCATTCGTCACTATTACGGCGTTGATTATTTGGAGAATTGGTGATGATGATTTCTTTAGCAATAAAATTTTCATCATTATTAGAACCTGGATCTAACTGTTGTTGATGTTGTTCTTGAATTAATTGTTGTTGTTCCTTCTGAAATTGTTGTTGTTCCTTTTGAAATTGTTGTTGTTCCTTTTGAAATTGTTGCTGCTGCTGTTCTGCCAGTGGTTTTTTATTATTGTTTCGCCTTTTAGGTTCATTAAATGGTAATTTTAATTGTTCCAAATAATCAATCAACTCAATTTCATATCTTTTAACAATACCTTCGGGATGACTTCTTTTTAATCTTTTACGTAATTCTTTAGATAAACTATGATTATTGTTATTGTTATTCCCAACGTTTTCTTTTTGAGCTTCCTTATTTTTTTGTTTGTCATTCTTTTTACCAGAAGAACCAGAAGAATTAGTACCAGAACCACTACCAGAACTAGAACCACCTTTATTTTTCTTTTTTTTATTGGTGGTGGTATTGGTCTTGATTCTAAATTGATGATCAACAAAAGTGGTACAAAGTTGGTCAATAACAGGATCATAATAAAAGTGGAAGTCTGAAATTTCATTTTTATAACCAGGATGATTAATATCTGCAGGGTCCAAATATGCAAAAGGATGATGGGCAAAGTTGTCTAATTAAAAGCCAATTAATTTATCAGTCAAATCAATCAATCAATCAAATTCTCTTTCAATTAATCATCTAGAAACATTTTTAAATAGAAGAAGAAACTGCTTACTGTTATCAAATCGATTTCTCTTTCTACTTCCTTCATTACCAGGAGAATTCCTCTTGGTCAACGAATCTCTATTGCTGCTTAACTTACTCCTTTTAGTAGCACTACCAACTTCGTTGTTAGTACGTTTAACTTTAACTTTAACAGTTTCATCAGTAACATTTTTCAAAGCAGTAACAGAAGCAGAAGCGGCAGCAGTGTTGTTGTTGTTGTTGTTAATATTGTCGTTGCCAGTCAACAAGAGAGTATTAGTAGCTTCTCCGGCAACTTGTTCAAAGATGTTTTTAGGGATGTTGCTGAGAAGAATGTTGGCAGCATCATTATTGTTGTCGGTAATGATGGTAATTTGTTGCAGAGTTGTTTGTTCAGAGGAACAATTATTGATAAGATTCAAATTAGAAATGTTTGCCATTTTAGTAACAAGATTAATAATAAATATAATGGTTTTTATAAGAAGTTGGTTAATTTTCTTTATTTGTTTAGAGAGTAAATTTTAGGTAAAACTATAGTTTTTTATTTTTAGTGTTGAAATTAATGTGTAAAAAAGCTTGTGTTCAAAATTTTGTCCAACAACAACAGGTTTTTTGTGTACGTGCGTGCAATACTTATCATTATTAATTCATTACCCGCGTGATACAAATAAATTTCAGTGTCTCCCCCATAATAAAAATGAAAATCTGCTATCTTTTGATGGAAAAACTTTTAATAGGATTAAGGAAACTCTGGTTGTGATGTTTCTTCGGGAGAAAAACTCCCATAACCCTCAAGTTGATTCGCGAAGGCCTAGGAGAATTATTAGAACCAATAATTTATTTCTCCTTGTTTTTCCTTTGTTCTCTTGCTTTTTAAATTTTTTTGCGAAAACTCGGAAGTTTTTCTAAACCAAATATTTATTATTATTATTATTAGAAAAACAAAACAAATTGAGTAACTAATAACATTTTATCGGAATTTAAAACTATGAAATAATATGATGGAAAAATTAGCCAATATTTTTTTTTGTTGGAATTAAAAAGGATTTATAAAAAGTATGAGAATTATTTATTGTTTTACTGGTTGGAAAACATTTAAATCAGAAGTTCCGCCATTTTCCTATTTCACCATTTTCCTATTTCACCTGCCAAAACTGCATGCACACCACATAAAGATAATAAATGTCATACAAATATTTATTTCACCCCACAATAAATAAAAAAAATTCCTAACGTGATGGTTAAGAGTGTTTTTTATCACATAAAATATTACATAGTAGACGCTGCGCCACGACTTTGAAATCTATGGTTGTGTTGTATGTGAAATTGATGCAATTTGTATCACTGCCTTTCTCTTTACTAACGACTCTCTCCACTTGATTCCACTTGATTCTTCTTGTCTTCAACTCCTTCTTTTCTTCTTCTAACTTGCTTCTCTTCATCGTTCTTCCATCTTCTTCTCTCAAACTTCTCCAACTCGTCCAACAAGATTTTCTTTATTAAAATTTATAAATGTTATACTTTTATTATTAATTAAAAAAAAGGAAGTAAATAATACAAATAATTCAATATATGTTGTAAGAATTATTTTATGAAAAAAATTTTTGTTACACGAAAATTTACTTGGTCTCAGCTTCTTAGGCATATAACAAAATTTGGAATTTTCAAAATGCTAAGGCTCTGTCAATTTTTAGTTTAAAAAAAACTAATCGATAAGTTTTGAAGATTGAGTTATGAAAAATAAAATTTATCGGTTAATTTTTTTAAATGACATAAAAATTTTTTGTTGAAGCTGAACAATTGTTACTATAAGCAATTAATGATTATAGATGACCTGCATTGTAGCAAATGGGCTACTTAAATATTATGGACATGTGTATATGAAAATGAGATTAGCCAATCGCACCTGTATATACAGGCACATAACTTGGGATTTATTTGCAGAGACAAAGAAAAAAATAATTAATAGAAAAATTTAAAAGTTGTCAGAGCATGTTTTCATTGTCTTCGCCATCTTTAATCTCTTCTTTCTTTACCGACCCACGGTTGGTTTTTCTTCTAGAATTAGTCTTTGTTGGTAAAATTTTTTAATAGTCGAGGCAGCAACGCCTTTTCCTTCAAGTAATTCAATGAATAAAAAATTTGGATTCAATTCTGTCCTTTATTAAATAATTGCTTGAAATCCTTTCAGGTATTTCTTTTACCGACCAGTTTATATAGTCTATTTTTTCCACCGATCTAAATCACACAGTTGAAGTGTAACGTAATAATTTTTAATATAACCATATATGGCCCTTGTAGAGCACTATTTATAGAGAGATAAAAATTTTTTTCCATATAAAATAACTCTTTTTCTTTGAAACTGTTTTAACGAAACGTTTGATCAATTGATCCGACTCACGTCTAGGAAAATTCTTTCATTTATTTTCCATAATCGTATAAAAACCTCAAAGTTTCATAATCATTAAATTTCTTTGAGTGTTATTTACAAAAATTGTGTCTCGCCTTATAGTAAGTAAATTCATAAAAAAGTTACCTGTTCTTATCTTTTTTGGCTTATTCAATCAAAACTGGCTATCGTTTAATCAAACTTTACCTATAAATAATATGACCTTGTATCTATATTTTTTGTTATAAAATCAAGGCTTAATTACTATATACTTTTAAAATTTTATTTTTAACCTGCATTTTTTACACATAATGTGGGGAACAATTTCATGAAAAAGTTTATTATTCTAAAAAATATTTATTATAAAAATGTCACTGTGATAAATTTTTTTTTTTGAAATTGAGGGTTGTTACACGGACCTTATCAAAAGTTTGTGCTAACGGAATAATAAAAGCGGAATTTTACTATGCAACCCATAAGAAATATTTTTGATATAAAGAGTATCCTCTTCCCAGCTTTAATTTTTTCATTTCATTTATTCAACAACTATAACTTGTTTATTAAAATTCGATATTTTAGATATTTGAAAAAATGTTATATAATAAATCAAAAGGCCGCGTGGGCGAAGACAACTGCAATAATAAAAAGTTAATAAATCAATACAAGTGTATTAACAAACCAACGAGGGAATCCAGCGAAATAGAAAAATTAACGAGGCAATGCGGAAATATAACATTGGCATATTTTCTTCATAATTGTAGAACGGATGGAAACAAGATTAAATGGATTTCATATGAAGAATTTTATAATGTTGAATTGTTGGCTGAAGGAGGATTCGGAATCATACACACTGCCAATTGGTCTGGTAAATTCTATAATAAAAAAGTTGTACTGAAAAGCGCATACGACTCACGGAATGCTATTCCAATAATATTAAAAGAGGTAAATAAAATTCCTTGATTTTAGAATATTTATTGATTAATTTAATAAATTGCTAATTATTAAATTATCGGACCATTAAAAATCATTAGCTAGAAGCACATAAAAGAATTTACAAGGAAAATAACACCCCTGACCATTTTATTAACGAGTGTTACGGAATTACGAAAGATGCAAAAAATAATTATATGATAGTACTTAAATACGCACAATGGGGTGATTTACATAGTTATTTGTCAAAG